TCTTTTGAAATGTATTTTGTGGGTGTGTGCTGCACATGCATGGGGTATGTGTGCAAGTGCATGTGTGCACATGCATGGGGTAGTCGGGGGCAGTTGTTTCAGGTAGGCTGGCAAGTGAATTTCCAGGAATCTTTCTGGGGTTCCTGGCATGAATGAGGATTTAAACTAGTTCCTCATGCTTTCACAAAAAGCATGCTAACCCTAGTCACCTCTCCTTTGCATCAGACTGACCTTTCTTCCTTCCTTCCTTCCTTCCTTCCTTCCTTCCTTTCTTTCATTTTTTCTTTTTGTCACTTTTTGTATCAGAAAAAAGAAAGAAAGAAAGGAAAGAAGGAAGGTAGGAAGGAAGGAAGGAAACAGTAGAGGACCCTAAGTCACAGTAGCATTCGCCACAGTATCAAGATGAGTTCATATTCCTGCAAATCCAAACATGAGAGAAACCAGCTGTTGCTTCAGAAAACAGCCTGGTGACTACTTTTAAAAAAAGAATACTTTTGGGCATAGTGACACATACTTGTAACCCATGCTCTTGTGAGGTAGAAGCTGGAGAATCAGGAGTTCAAAGTTGGCCTTGGAAGGAAGGAAAAGAGGGAGGGAAGGGGGAAAGAAGGTGGAGGGAGGGATAAAGGAGGGAAAAGGGGAGAGGGAGGAAGAGATGGAGAGAGGAAAAGAAGAGAGGGAGGGAAGGAGAGAACAAAAAAGAATAAACAAATCAACACTAAAACATATTCCTTGACATGTTTCTAAGACACATGTACTCTGATTCAGGAGTCTAGAACCTGGGTATCATGCAAAGCAAACTTTCATTTTTTAGTCTTAGTGACTAAAATCCACTGGGTAAGTCAAACAAATGTGTCCTGCTGTAGTGAATGATACACTATTATCCCCTACAGAATGCACTCTGAGGAAGTAGTACTGGAATCTTCCTTCTTTCTCAGATGTGTGACCAAATGAAATGATGCTGGGTTAGGAGTTGTGGTCCCATGGATACTGGGGAGGGCATTTGAACTATAAAACAATGGAAAGAGGAAAGTCTCCATGGCAGAAGCTTACTCATTCGTCCTCATCCCTAGTGTGGATTATAGTGGCCCCTGGACTCCAGTTTATAGCTTCATGTTGTTCCTTTGATGAACAAGTTTAAATGATTACTGCCAGCACCTAGAAGATCAGGGTGGCAAGGTCAGTATATGGTACATGATGAGGAGCCTTTGAATATCTGAGATGTACTGGCTGTCTTGACCCCTCTAGGCAAAAACTCACAGATAGTTTTACTGGCACATCTGTTTGTCTCTCAAGAGTTTGCCTTAGTATATTGTTTCCTGTGAAGCATCATTCAAGCTCATCTACATGGTACAGCACATGCTAGGCACTGAAGGAAAGAGGGAGAGAATCATGGATTTGTTACTCCACTTTGTTCTCTAAAGTTGTGTGACAACCCAGCTGACTGGCATAATAGTGAGCCTTCAAACGCATGGGCTATTTCTGTGGGGGAGGGAGGAGCCTCCAGCTGGTTGAAGTTGAGCAGGCATTCTGCTAAGCTCTGCTGCCTCAGATAATCTCGTGCTGTTTGGAACTGTTGATGACCCAAACACTGATTTACTAGCCGTGGGCATGGAGTCATCTCACTGTCATTATCAGTTCCCTACATCACCCGTAGCTCATGCATGGATCTGGCCACCAAAAATCTCTAGTCATGATACTATCATTCTTGTCATGCTTTAGTGTGGTCAAATCTAGTGCAGGGATGGCTATCAACCTTAAGGTTTCTTGTGGAAAGCATTCATGACCTGCAGATGTGATGGCTGCATTCTGGGACTTGGCACAGACATTTCTGGTAAGTGGTCTTTCTTTAAACATGGCTACCCTTCTGTGTATGTGTACATGGATGTGTGCACCTACAGGTAGAGACCAGAGGTCAATGTTGGGTATTCTCCACCTTAGTTTCTGAGACAATTTACCACCTGAACCATCTTCCTAGCCCTCCCCCAATTTTTTAAAAAGGACAATGAAGAAGTTCAAGAATCCTGGATGAAACAAAGCAATGTTTTGTTTGTGGACAATGGCTGGCACCTGGCAGGCAGGGTACTTAACACCCAGGCTCCCCCTATAAATGCTTCGCTGGCACATATGCACACGCATTTCCAAATCCCCTAGATGAATGAGGCACTACTTTGGTTAAGAACCACTACATACATACATGTGGTGGCTTGCCCCTCTCCAGAGGCATATGTTGCAGTGCGGGAACCCCTGAGTGCTAGAAGATAACCAGAGTGGCCCTAGCAGTCACCTCACTAGAAAAATGCTTCTTCTATGATTCACTATACAGATTCCCACAAAATTCTTGTATGCCTCATGTCATTTACTTTTAATTTAAAAAAAATGCTGTCTATCTTGTGAGGAGGGATGCGCATGCCAGGATACATATGAAGGTCAGAGACATCTGTACGGAGTCAAGCCTTCCTCCCTTTCTGTGGAGACTAGGGATTGAACTCAAGTCATTCAGTAGGCTTGCACAGTGAGCACCTTTACCTTCCCCGCAGCTACCTCACTGACCCCGGGTCATTTGCTCTTAAAGGCTGGTTGTTGGCCCTCCATTTTTAACAAGAGGAGCATCATATAGGGAAGTGTAGTTTGCTGCCTTTCATGCCTCATCAGAGTAATGCAAGCATTCATACATGCAATCTTCTCAGCAGTGTAAACTTGAGAGAACTCAGAAACAGGCCAAGTCCTAGAACCACTGAGAAACCTGCTCTTTGTTAACCCATCTGAGAGAAAATGATGGCCATGCAGATTGGTTCCACTTGATGTTATTTCCTGTGGCTGCCTGAAGCCACCCATCACATCACCTCTGGCTCCCAAGGTCAACTTCTTATAATTCCCAGCTAACAATGACTATTCTATCTTGCTGCTTCCGTTCACCTCTGGTAAGCTACACAAACGCTAATGGATCCCAAAACATCCTATTCTTTAGGAAGACTCTCCTGTTGCCAGTGTCCCACCATTTTGGAGCCAGTTACTCTTGGTGTGTTCCCGTAGCCCATGCTTTTACCTCTACTGTAATACTTACGCCTCCCCAATAACTTGTGTTTGTCACCACCAACTCTTTCCAGATTCTAAGTTCATAAGAGCAGGGATAACTCTACCTACCTTCCTGTTACATCCAAAGGAGGAAGGTGCCTGGAGTAGCTACCCAACCAGTCTTTACTGAATGGATGAATTAGCAAATGAATTGATGGGTCACTATAAATTGGGCTACTACACATGTAAAAAAGGGAAATACAATGTTTAAGTAGAATAACTTGAACTTAAAAGTTAGAGATGATTTAAGTCCAGGAATTTGTGACGAAAATATTTGCTTGCCCAGCTCGGGCTGCTGTGCCAAAGGATCTGTTAGAATATGCCGACAGCAGGTCCACAGTGAGTGGATGGACAGATGTTATCAGGGACTTTACTCCAGAGATAGTGAGAATGAAACCCACAAGGCAAAAGTTTCCCATTTGTGATATGTTTTTTATAATTTTTAAAAATAATCTCAGCTCAAAGCTACCTTCCTATTACTCTGAAATGAAGACTCTTACAGTGAAAGACTAGATGCCATTTTCATTTTTGCTGATTCCCAAAACCAATTTTGAACAATTCATTTTTCCTTCGGTCCTATTTTTAAAATCCAACCCTCCAAGTCATTAGAACAAACCACAGCCCTTACCAGTGTTCTGGAAGGCTGCTTTATCAGTACAGGTGACCAAATTGGAACTGCAAAATGGCACGAGGCAGAAATGAGCTGAAGGCCACAATCTCGTATGGAGGTTAACATAAGGAAGTTTTGTTTTATTGACTACTAAATGTCCTAGCAAGTTTCTGACAGAAGCACAAAGAGAAAATGGAAACAAACACCTTTCTGGGAATGTTTCCTTGGGGCACTGACCTTGACGGCAGCAGTCACGCCTTGCTCAACAGCCAAAAGGCACTAGGTCAACCCCACAAATGACATGATAAGTGAACCTGCAGTTCCCAAGGAAGCCAAACATAAGCAAACACATCCCGTGCCTGCCTGAGGACTCTGCCCCCTGTCCATGTGCCTGCTGGAGCTGCCAGGTCCCTGTTCCTCTCAGGCAAAGAAAGCTAGTTGTAACAATCCACCTCTCCATCTCCTAGGGCCCACAATTGCCCCACAAATATTTCAGTCCCCTCTGATCTCCTTTATCCAGCCACTGTGAACAGGATCAGGGTACACAGTGGTATTCTGGCTCTAGTGACATCAAGAAAGTGTCCCCCTCGTTTTCAGCATTAATTTTCAGTCTTTTCCAGGAAATCCTTCTTCACCGGCACAGGAAATGGCTACATTCAGAAAGATGCAACCAGCTTGGTAGCTAAATTAATACTATATGCAAAATAAGAGAGGAAAACCCCCTTTTATATGGTTTGTTGGCAGCGTGCCATTGTGATTTAGAGAAAACTCTAGAATGTGAGACAGGCAGTGCAGAGACAGTGGCTGGCTGGGGAACATGGACCATTGGATGGCTGGTGGGAGGGGAGTGCATCCTAGGAGTTCTGAAACTTCCACCTTGTGCTAAGTTGCAAAGATGAGTTCCTCCTCCATGTTGAAGAGGTCTTCTGCCTGTCCAAAGGCCTTAGAACTTAAGAGTCAGTTAGAGTGAGTCTAATTCTGGATCTCTCTCTCTCTCTCTCTCTCTCTGTCTTTCTCTCTCTCTCTCTGTCTCAGAATCTTTTCTCATAGGACACCAGAAATCCACAGGGGCTGTGATCAATAGTTTCCTAGCACACCTATCTATCTCCAAAGGGGGAGCTCATTGGTGTGATGAAATATAGATATCAAACAAGAGTGAAGATCTGACAGACAACTAAAGACCCTGCTGCATTTGAAGGAACTGAACAAATCAAAACAAAAGGGGTGCTTATCCCCCTTCCCACCCTCATTTCATTTTACTACCCACCTCACCCCCACCCCCCACCCTCAACAGCAAAATAGCTTCCCCCCCCCAAAGTCCTAAGAGGCACAAACAGGAAGCAAGAAGGCACGGTGGTGGAGTGTCTCTCTGTGTGCTCTGCTGCCCCGTGCTCAGGTGATGACAGTGGGTCCCCTCCGGCCAGTTCTCTCATGAATCTGGGATATTTTCAACGCGATGGCTATGAGAGGGCTCAGCACCGCCTGGAAAAGAAAGGGACAACCATCAACTTGAAGTCAGCTCCAGTACAGGCTTGAGGATGGGTTTCTACCTCAGAGACATGGACTCAGGTTGCCTTTTACAGCCCACAGGCAGTGACTGGAGTGGACAGGACACAGACGAGGAACAGAAAACTGCTCTGTGAGGTTCACTCAACCACAGAGAAATTAACTCATGATAGGGACAAGTATAAGACTACCGCAAAACAAAACCATGAACTCAGGAAGGCTGGAAACTTCCATTCTTCCTCTGATTCACTAATCCCTTCCAAGTTATAGCCCCAACCAAACACCTCCCCACATTTAGTGTGAGGACAAAGCTCGTTTCTCATCTTGAGACCACAGATCAAAAGAACCCACAGTTCTGACACTTTAGAGAAGATGGCCACACTAATGCTAAAGGATCCATATTCCTATCCTATACCATCCTGGCTTCTTCAGAATTCCCAGGGAGGTGGGGATGGCTTAGAGAACTTTGGAACCCAGTTCAGCAAAAGACTAAGGATCACTTCTTCCCTTTAATCACTTGTCCAGTTTTTGAAGAGTGGAGCACATATCCCAAACACACTCCTAAGACATAAATTATAAAACACTGAGAAAGTTGGTCTGTCTGCACTCTTCAATGCAGACACTGCCACAAACAAGAAACCGTGTTTACTGCTGACCATCAGCACTTTAAAGAAAACAATTCTTGCCAGAGAATTATACAGTGCTAAGAATTATATTTGACTATAATTTATGTGTCTGCACGACTCACATTCACCAAGTAAGATTGCTTTTCCATGTGGAGTACTGATGCAAACTTATATATAAGTATAAAATGAGTTCATTTAAAGATAAAATTCAAAACAAAGATATTGATAGAGAAGTATTGGGCAACAGTGAAGTAAAAGAATAAATAAAGATCCCATAGTTCTGGAAAATGAAGCCTGTGCAGAGGGAGGCAGCATTCTGTACCTGGCAACCTAACCTGTTCCTAGCAGATGAAAGGATGAAGGGTGTTCAAGAATTGCAGTCAAACAGAAGCACATGCATAGGGCACAGATAGCTCAGGCCTTCAGGTATGCCTTGAGTATAGAGAGAACCCTGAAAGATATGATGTGAGGGGTGAACCTATGGTGGAGTGAACCTATTTAATCCAATATACAGTGAGAGATGCTGCCATCCTAGGAGCCAAAGGCTGTATTATCAGAACAGTGGAAACATTAATCTAAGGGCATGTTTGGTAAGGTATTACTTTAGGGGCTATTTCGTATCACTAAATTGCACAACCTCAATCATGAATAGCCACAAAATAATTTCATGTCATTCAAATAATTATACTGAAATTACTTCAATACAGTTACCCAAATAAACAGTAAGATGTGAGTACACATATAGAGGGGTTTTTCTAAAAAAAAAAAAAATTAGTATTTTAGAGACAATAGAGAATGATGATTAGTTTACCTATCAAATTAGATATGCACGAGATATTATAAAATATTGGTGAGGAATCAAAAAATGTAAAAGAATTCTTCAGCTTGCTTCACAGTCACATTTAGGTTCCTATGGCACTAACTAAATAAGAATAAAAGTTGGACATTATATAGGATGAAATAGAACCACAATCCTAAACAATGCCTAAAAATGTCCCGACCCAAAACAAATGATTGTGTGATTGGAAAGACACAGCTATGTATGCATCTGGTAACTTCTCTAAGTGTTTGTCTCTTGGTCTGGTCACATCCAGCATGAAGTCACCAGTGGCAATTAGGCCAACTCACAGAAGTCAGAGCAGGGTGTATGCCCCCTTTACCTTACACGTAGTAACTGGGCAGCTCTTGCTCCAAGTATTTGGAATCATGGTTCTGATTTTTTTCTTTTCTAGTTATTTGGGAATGTATGCATAAATAATGAAACATCTTGGGGTGGAACACAAGTCTAAAGGCAAAATTCATTTTTGTTTCTCATATATGCTTTTTTTCACACATTACCCAGGTAAGTTTATATGATATTCTTAACACATCTTCATTTTGACTGTGACCATATCACATCAGTCAAGATCTAAAATTTCCCATTTCTAACACATCAGGCTCAGAATCAAAATTGGGAGCACTTTAGGCATTTGGATTTGGGCTTCGATGTGTTACGCATATACCATGCTCTCCACTGCCGTGGCTAGAATACTTTTTGTTGGAGCTTTCTTCCTTCCCATCCCACTGGAAGTCATCAAACCCTCTGTCTTTATTCAAACAGTAGCTCCTCACCAATATTCCCCTCCTCCCAGGTTTTTCCCTAACACGGTTTGCTAGCATTCATGGCTCATAGGTGCCAGTCAGCTGCTCCCAACCTTACCATGCCGAGCTTCTTTCTGAAATCGATCTTCTGATGGACAAGTCTCAAGCCCTGTCATCAGCCATTCCCAGTATGGCTGCTGGGTTCCTGATGTGCTGTCAATCCTTAGCACCTCCTCCCACTCCATGCCATATAATCTATCTTTATTTTAATGTCCCCAAATTCAATCAAAGTAAACAAGGCCTACAGATAAATCAGGATTCAGAGCTCAAGTCGGAGAGAATTTATCTTCCCCAGATAACAAAACAGGCCTCCATTAAAAAAAAAAAAATCTTCTGAGGGGAAAATCCCCCTCCAGATTGAAGTAGAGGAAATCCTTCCAAAGAGAGTCACCAAGGCAAAACCAAGCCAGTCTCTGGGATCAATGCGCTAGCCACAAAAGCCACATAGGCAGGTGAGGTCAGCCTCCTTCTCTACCACGCTGCTCACTTCTGCCTTCGAGTTGGGCCTTTAGATAACTGGTGGCATTTATATTACAACCTAACAAAAGTGTGACAATCATGGCGACAACTGTCCTATTTAGTCAAATGTGAGCTCCATTTGGCTTCACACATTGAAACCTTTGGGGACTAAATGAGTAGGTTGGCCAGCTCTGTGGGTCCCGCTAGCGGCTGGAGTACGCTATGCTTCTGCCCTTGGAATCTTGCTGTGTAGATACAAACTAGCTTGCAAAATTCCCATCTTAAACCTCTTAGGACTCCCTTGCTCACAACTTCCCCTTTCCTCTCTCCTCTGCCTGTACCCACCTCATCTCCCATGCAGCCAAGAATATTCAAAGGGAGGCCTGTATGCCTGCATGCCCTCCCAGAGATCTCCACTATGACCTCATGTTGCTATTCACTGGGCATGTCCACAACACCCTTCAAAAATTTCCCTTTGTGTGGAATATACTTGCTAGTCTGATGGAAAATTACCTCCTACCTCGTGCTAAAATTCTTAGCAGAAATAGATCTAAAGACTGAGACCAGAACTTTAAACAAGACTGGCATCTATAGAGTTTGATGCTCTGAGCCTTCTTTCTCCTCCCTAAGGCTGCAGAACCTGAGGTAAAGGTTATTCTGTCATATATTGCAACCTGAGTTCCTGTGGTTGCAACACTGACATGGTTCAGCTTGGTGCGCTGCTTATAGATGTTTCTTAGTAACGAAGTTGAAGCCCCCACAGGTCTACTAGTAGCTTGCTACCCAAGGAACAGCCAAGAATTACCCAACGATACTGCTGAGAGTTCTAGTCAGAGATGGAGTATTTGTGTTCCTACAAATCCTGAAATATGTAGCTCTGACAAGCTTCCGAAATGATCCTGGTGCATACCCAGGTCTGGGACCCAGCTTTTCGCATCGTGTTCCTCATCCTAGGACAGGCAGAACAGGACAGTGGTGAAATGACTCTGAAGACAAACCTCCCTGGATCAACTGGCTCCACCCTTTATGAGCTGTGTGATCTGGGTAAGTCACTTAACTTCATTGGACATTAATTTTCATTGGGGCTAACAGCACCTTCCTCACAGAGATGAGAGGCTACGGGAGCCTACGTAAGTAGGAAATGGGACAGTCCCAAGCATGCAGGACAGATACGTAAGTGTTATCATTAAAAACTAGAAAAGGGACTGTAGCATGCAAGCTGGCTGTCAAATGGCTGCTTGGTACTCTGTGATCTTTTATTAGAATATCAACTCATGCTCTCTCAAATGTCAAATGAATATCTGCCTCTGGTACGCACCCTGGTTCAAAGCAGCAACTTTGTTTAGTCAGGTCTTACTGTCCTGTTTTTGCTCTGATGAGTTACCAGCCTGCTGTCTGGATCTCTGACCCCAGGGACTGCCAAGAGGACCATGCCCTGAATTCACCATGGTTCCAGTTGGCCTCTGCAGTGATATGGTGGGTGTGTCGGTAGTGTGGCACGTACACACATTGTGCTATTCCTGAATGCAGCTGCATAGTAAACATGTCCTTGAAAGCTCCCAAGCTGAGCTATGGTTTAGATATGGTTTGGGTTTGCCCTGAGGAGTCATGTGCTAAAGGCCTATCCTTGGGTGGTGATGTTGGGAGATGGGCGGTGGGCCCCTCTAAAACCATGAGCTAAAATAAACCATGTCTCCTTATCTGGGAAATTTCATCATAATGGCACAAAGTTGACTGATACACTACATAAAGGATATGAATACAGTAGTTTACACGGCTTCAAAATCATTGGCACTTCCCACACTAAACGGTGGGTTTAGAGCTGGAGAGATGGCTTAACAGTTAAGGGTCCTTCCTGTTCTTTCAGAGGACATGAGTTTGGTTCCCAGCACCCATATGGTGGTTTACAACTACCATAACTCCAGTTCCTGGAGATTTAATGGCCTCTTCTGACCTCCACAGGCACCAAGCATTCAAGAGCTGTTCATCTATGTATACAGGAAAAACACTCATACACACAAAATAAACACTAAAGAGACAGGCTTTCATTACTCAGCCTTGACATGTAGCAAGCTTTTGCATTCCAGCTATAGAGTTCAGAAATGATAGTATGTGACTTCTCAGACTGGGTTCCAGGATGCCCTGAAACATCCCACTAAGCCCTTAGTAGTTATATCAAGAAATCTGACACATGCCTAAAACATGAATACAAAGATTCCTCCAGAACATCACCATCAGTTTGCCCACCAG